AGCCTTGACATAATCCGTGATGCCATACCTTTGATCCGGTCCGAGAGCGCTGATGCCATATATGGGTCCAGAAGGGATGACCTCACGGAGTGCGCAACCGTGCTGCTTCAGCTTCTCCTTACACAAAATCCGGAACGCATCGTTCAGGGTTGTTTGCAGAAGTTTATTGGCCAACACACAGCATCCACAGCTTTACTGCAGAAGGCACTCGACAGCCTTCTGGGCTTCGACTCGGATGCAAGCGATAAGACCACACCTGAGGCCGAGGAAGTCATCCGCATGAACAACGATTTTTCTCTTCCCTTTTGTCAACTCAAGCTTCAGCTCTTGTTCAACGCAGAAGCTGCTGGCCAAGACAACAACGGCATCGTGGATGTGATGTTCAAAGCCGCAGTGGCAGATACCAAATCTCACAAGGATCATTGGTATGGCTTAGTGAGCTTGATGAGCCATGATGCTATTCAACAAATTCGGGAGCGGGCTGAAAGGGCTTTCTTCTCTATCCCCATGTTCGAGGAAAATTCGGATAGTCTCCAATCGATCGAGACTGCAAGGCTCTACTTGACAATGATTGAGAAGCTAGCCCCTTGCATTCCTGAAGCTGGGGTACCGACCATTGTGCCTGTGCTTGTTGAGAAGATGGAGTTCCTGCTCCAGAAGTTTGTGGCAATGCAAGCGAATCATACTGGTACCGGAGATGCACGTCCGACAAACCAAGCTAGCCCGTCTTTCGAGAGAAGCCTGGCCTTCTGGTTCTCTGCCTTGCTTCGGATAGTTGTCATTCACCGCGCATCGTTCAACACGCCGGGACTGGCGCCTAGATCTCATGGCTTACCAGAGCAGACTCGCCTACTGATCTCCATCTTCTGCATCTCCTTGGCCCGTCTTCCGAACCGTGTCCTTCGTCTATACCCGTCAGCTGATTATTTCCCTCAACCCAAACCAGTGGAGAGCTACCGGCCGTGTCCTGGGATTCTGCTGCAAACCCATGCACTTGATGTTGCTGCTTGCCTTGTTGACATATTCCCGGATGAGGCACGGCAGCAGTGTGCGCGGTTCCTCAGGGAAAAATGTCCGCCCTTCCTTCAATTCCAGAACGATTCTAGATTTCTTTACCTTCTCGGTCCCATAGTGGACAGCTCCAATCCTCCTCAACCCACGTCTCTACCGTCTCCTGCCGCTGGCGGCTCTACCCCAACACCATCGGGAAGCTTAGCCTATGGTCAACAGACGCCGCAACAATCGTCCACTGCAGTACCATCGGGGCTCTCTGCTGGACTGAGCGAAGGTGTCAATTGCATTGCAAGTCATCTTCGGGTTCAGTACCGCGGGCGGGCCATTGGTGCATACCCTGTGCGTCCATGGGAGCTTCTCGAAGATGCAGCTCCTATCGTTGGCATGAATGACACCGCATTGAGTCTGAAGTACTTCGATGCCAGGCGTGTCAGAGCCTAACGTATACTCTTTTCACGTACATACTACCATTAATCCCACATGTGACTCTCAATTTCTTCTGTTTTGTTTCCCTTGCTTTACATACCCACCTGCATCTGCAGCAACTTTATTGTCATGCACTTTCGTCGCTTCTGCTCGGGGCCCCCCCTTTGTTCACATGACTCGTTGTCATTGATTTCACCAACTTTCCTGGAGAGATTATAAGGTTGTACATATTTATGGATAAAGCTGGGCGTTAGATGGGGTTGGGCAAATTATAGCATATCATGGTCTGTTGCGGGTTCTTGCAGGATGGCATCGAGGAGCGGGTTGCATGAGCGAGTACAACATTTCGTCATCTGGTTGCTGTATAGAATAATCCAATCGCCCGTCACTGCAGTCCAAATTTTCAGTCAAATTTCTCTCAGCGACGAGCTTCATTCTTCTAAGACTGCAATTGATACAGTCGTAGTGAGGTTATCGCCATTCCCAGTTGAAGCGAGCCACTGCCATACATCGAGCAAAGCGGTCGAGGGAGCGGTGAGCGTCCCGCCTCAGGCACCGTATCACCTCGGATGTTCGTCTCCGACGTCATGCCGGCGGCGAGCTCGACATTCTTTCTTCGCCCCAGCTACAATTTCTTGATGGGACACGGCGTCTGCATTGAACCTCAACCACCGTGATTGTACCTACTTCCCCAATCACAATGATCCCCACGGCCAGATGTCTGGCCGCGAAGCCCTCGGGCTTTTTCAAGCGCAGCATAGATGAGCTTAGCCGCGTCTCCAGAATCGGTGCGTTTTCGCTGTCGTTATCTCCACATTATCAGCGAGGGCGATTGAATAGTTACTAATTCCAGCTGCCTTCTAGCTTGGAACTCCGAAGCCCTTCACACTCCGACCAAACCCTACGTCCTCCTCGACTTCGAAGATGCCTCCACCGTTGCCGGCTGCAAGACCATGGCCGACCGCGCCGTCGGGGGCTACAGCACCGCCAGCCTGGACCATATTCCCGCCGATCCGGCGACGAGCAGCCCGGCGCACGCTCGTTTCCACGGAAGCATTTCCACCAAGTTGCCACAGAACTGGCGCGTCGAGAGAACCGGTACGTCAGCCGCTTGCACGCGAGCGTCCCTCTCAGACACACCGCGTTTTCCCTTTTCTCACAAAATGTCTGGGGACCCAGAAATCTGACGTTCTGTCCAAACAGGCTACGCCGCCTTCCGCAACCAAGACCGCGGCTTCTGGCTCTTCGGCCGACTCTTCTGGGATGTCGACCCGTACGCCTACCTCGCGCTGCGCGTGAAATCCGACGGCCGTCGCTACACGGTCAACATCCAGACCGACTCGATCATCGAGACCGATATCCACCAACACCGCCTGTACACCCGCCACCACCGCGTGCAGCAGCAGCAGCAGCTGTCGGACCGAGATCCCTTCTCGCCTTTCACCACCGCCACCACCACTGCTACCGCCACCGAAGAATCGCCCGAGCTCGCCGAAAAGCTCTACCCGCAGGGCATCATCCCGGCCGCGCTGTCGGACGTGCCGCCGGAATCGACGATCATCTCGGCATCGAACAGTGCGACGACGTCCGGGGCGGCGGCGGACGCGACGGGGTGGGAGACGATCCTCCTGCCGTTCAACGCGTTCGTGCGCACGAATTTCGGGCTGGTGGTCGAGCCGCAGACGTCGATCCTGCGGCAGCGCGTGAAGAGTATCGGGATCGGGTTGACGGATCGCGTGGAGGGGCCCTATGATCTGCGGATTCATAGGATCTGGGCGACGAATGGGATGAGTGAGGCGGAGATTGAGGAGGAGAGGCGCATCTGTGGGGCGGATGCGTTGGAGGTCGATGAGGGCGTGCGCACGAACTGGATTGGTGATAGCGAACCGTCGTCGTCGGGGTTGGGGTCGGGGTCGGAGTCGGCGCCGAGGGAGGATCAAACTGCTCCCGCGGCTCCTTCTCCGGCGCCCAAGGGCCAGAATAAGGGTAAGGGACTGAAGGGACTGCGTGATGAATGGAATTAACCACCCCCCCCCCCCCCCAAAAAAATGATAGATTGATACCACCACTATGAAATGTACATTGGGAAAATTTGATTATATATCCCTTTTTTCTACTCTGGGAGTTTATGAGCGAGCAGTATCTGCTTGCGTTGACTATATACTTAAGATACTACGTGAAGGAGAAAGAATCAGTTCTCCCCACCGGTGATCCGCTCCCACGCCTCACGGTACTTCTCACTGGTCTTCTGCACGACCTCCTCACTCATCGCAACCCCCTCCTTGCCCTTCAACCCCTCCTGGACCAACCAATCGCGCAGGAACTGCTTGTCGAAGCTGGCCTGGCCCCTGCCGACCTCGTACGAGTCCTTGGGCCAGAACCGCGACGAGTCCGGCGTGAGCACCTCATCGGCCAGCACCACCTCGCCGGTCTCCTCATCGACGCCGAACTCGAACTTGGTGTCGGCGATGATCACGCCCCGCGTCAGCGCGTACTCGTGCGCGATCTTGTACAGCTGCACCGACAGCGACGCAATGGTGGACGCGTACGGCTCGCCCACGATCTCGACGGCTGTGACCGCGTCAGCATTCACCCCCATTTTCCACCCACCTTCTTTCATCGATAGTCCCAGTGAGAAAAGGAAAGACATACCCTTATCCGGATGAATGTTCTCATCATGCTCGCCCAGCTCCGCCTTGGTGCTGGGGGTGTAGATGGGCCCGCCGGGGAAGGCCTCGCTCTCGCGCAGGCCGGCGGCGACGGCGATCCCGTGCACTGTGCCGTGCGTCTGGTACTCCTTCCAGGCGGAGCCGGTGATGTAGCCGCGCACGATCGCCTCGATGGGCAGGATGCGCAGCTTGCGCACCTGCATACTCCGGTTCTGCAGGACGGGCCGCAGTGCCACCGGGATCTGCGGCGGCAGGTCCAGCGTCAGGAAGTGCGTGCGCAGCGTCGGGAGCGCCGTCGTCAGGATCTCGAACCATTTGCGCGTGCAGAGGGTCAGGAGGATGCCTTTGTTGGGGATGCCCTGTTTTTTTTTCGCGGGGGGGTCATTGGGTTAGTGGCTGATGGAGTTGCGGGGGGTTTGATTGAGGAAGGGGGAGGGGGAAGGAAGGGAAAGAGGGGGCTGTAAAGTGTTTACATTCTGCATGATCACATCGTAGGCGGAGATTCGGTCCGTCGCGATGAAGAGGAGAGTCTTCGAGTCCACCTCGTATAGATCGCGGACTTTGCCTCGTGCGATGAGGGGCAGGACACCTTGGAGGTCCGTGTTGGTGTAGGATTCCGTCATGGCGGTTGTATTGATCGACCAAATTTTCAATTGGAAAAGGTGTGGGGAAGTAACGGTGGGTAGAATGCGTGGTGGGAGGAAGCTCAATTGCGAGAGTGAGTCAATGGGGAAGGAAGATGGGAAATTGCGGGTGACGGCGACGATAACTAAATCGATAAGCTTTTTTTTTCTCCCGTGGGCGGGGTTTTTGGGTGCCTGAGGCAGAACTTTCGCGGGGATCTATACAGCTACTAATACAACCGAAACCAACCACAAGAACATATCATTCGTGCTATCCAGGAGACAAAAGGCCATGTAGTATGTAATGCTATACACTTGACTCCGAGCTAGAAGGTCAAAAGCTCGGGATACCTTTTTAACAAAGGGTCGTCGTCCCATTCCACCTCCGGCTGGTCTTCCTTTTCATCGAATATATCAAATCCAAGTTCGTGGCGAGGGTCCGAGAAACGGAATTCTCCCACCGTCCTGCTGATCATCGCCATACCAAGCATTTGGTCGCTCGTCAGCCGCTTCAGGTTCATGTTATCTATTAGATGTGCGATCCGGGTGGTCCTGGGGACCACGGATATATTCTGCTGCACGATCCAGGAGAGGATGAGCTGAGCCCGGCCCCGAAAGTTCTTTCTAGACAGCTGGAGAATCTATTCGAGTTGAGTCATTCGACCTTCCAGCATTTTGAAGCACGAGGACCTACATCCGTATCTATCAATGGTCTTATATGATGGGCATCCGGGCCATCACGCAACGAAGGCTTGCCCCCGAGCGGCTGATGAGCCATGACATGAATTCCCTCCATTTTGCAAAACTCTCGCAGATCGATCTGTGGAAGATAACTGTCCAGTGATTAACTGAGAATCGAGGAAGTTCTTTTCCCTATGAGCCACTCACGGATGGAGTTCGACCTGGTTGACAGCGGGTCGGATTCGGGCCGTTTGAAGCAACCTGTTGAGTTTGAGAATGTTGAAATTGCAGACCCCTTGTGACGTCAGAAGTAGTCAAGGCAAATTAACTTGTGACTCTCATACCAATGAGTCTCGCTTTGCCATTGTCGACAAGCCGTTCCATGGCACGCCAGGTTTCAGGATATCGCTTTGATAAAAAGTGATCAACCACAGGCTGGTAAATATGACGTGTTAGCATCGGCTTAGCTGATTGTGAATGTCAAGCGTGTACCTTTCCATCGCACTCTTGCCGGGGCAGATACTCGGGGCCTTTAACCAGGGCATGTGGAACTGAAGCAGATGATCAATAATTTGCCTGGCTAATTAAGGGGCGAGCCTCATCGTACAGTGCATGAGGTAAAGGTCCACTATACATAGCAGTAGCAGCAGCGGTCAGTCTTTTTGAACAGCTGTCAAGGCCAATGAAACACTAACCGTAGTCCAGCTTGAGCGCCCTCAAGGTGCGACCAAGAGCACCCTCGACATCGCTAGCAGCGTGGCACGTTTGGGGTCTAGTTCATCCGTATTAGACTGTGATCGGTGTCAACGAGAAGGGGAACTGACAGCTTGGCAGTCACGAAGATCTCTTCTCGAGGAAGCCCACTCTTTTCAATCCCTTCTCCTACCGCCTGCTCGGTCAAATACGCGGCCGCTGTGTCAATGTGGCGATACCCGCACAACAGGCCCTTGAACACGACATCCTTGACCTTCTCGTTGGTCGCATCACCAGGGAATGTGCTCAACCCGAGGGCTGGAATCGTGACCCCCTGGACCGTGAAAGAGACGGGAAGAGAAGTAGGCCTCTTCATGATGGAGATGTTGATTGAGGGTTGAGGAAGGCTGCAAAGTCGACGGAGATGTCGAGATGCGAGCTCAAGATATATGGACGGCGTCTCTTCACCGCACCTTGGGCTTTCGAGACACCACTTGCCGTCAACCCCGCTTGGGGATTGGGAGTTGAAATTAGGAGGCATGATGACCGGGGTCTTACTCGAGTAGCTGAGAAAGAGGGCGCATACGCGCATTAGCAGATTGGTGGGCTACACGCTATCAGACAGACTAAGAACTTCATCTCTGTCTGACGCGCAAATCAGATGAAGCGCTATCTTGTGGCTTGCTGTAGACCTGCAGGCGATGCCGTGGCCTTTTTGATATATCAAGCGAGCTTTGGTCGAATATAAGGCTGAGTGGGCGGATGCAAAAACCGGTCTCTCGAGACTGCATAAATTGCAGGCATCATGGTGATTCTCATGCTGTAGCCTCTATCCTTTTCGGGCGAGATACAGGAGCAGCTTTAAATAGTACTCATCGAAGCAATGGGGATGAATTATCCGTACTCAACCACTGGCTAGTGTGTCCTTGATGCGCATGGTAGTGTAGCTTGGATAATGTTTGTTTGGGAAGTAGTTTTAGTGAAATTAGTTGGTTACCGTAGTAGTCAGCTGTAGAGTAACTTACTAAGTTGGGTAGTCTGTCCTTGAGACGGGAGTCTCCTCTCCCTCCGCTTGGTTGCGGACACTAGCTTAACTTCCCGAGCACTCCGTACTTTATGCATATCACCCCCTCCCTCTCCCGCAACTCTCATCCTTCAATGAGACACTTTCCTGCATTCTAGTGCATGACCTGTGTGCTATTTTGGCCTAACTCAATTCTCCACTGGAAGCTAATGCGGGTGTGACTGCCGACGGTCTAGTCTATTCCACCGAGGTCGGACAGATTGGACGTGTCGAAAGCCTTTGCTTCAAAAGATACAGCACATGCTACATCGGGCCATCGTCTTAAGCCAAAACCACACTGAGATTCGACGCATATCTACACGTATGTCTTGAAACCTTGGTCATGCGGTCAGCCTGGACTGGGGTCCAGGGCAGCATCAAGCGCACGCAACTGACATCACGGGCTACGCAGCTTTGCAATTTTGCGATCATTTGCAGATCCAGGAGACGAAGTTCTCTCATCCTCTACCGCGGGACTTCCTTTCCTCTTGGAGAAATTGATGGGGGGTGAATTGAAGTTTTCACAAAAGGACGGCAAGCCTGCAGCATGTCAATCCCTTCTTTCTTGAGACATCCTGCCATACAGAACGGAGTACAGCCTCACCCATCCGTCGTCGTTTTTGACCTTCAGAGTTATGGATTCTTGATTTGCTCAGGGTAGAAGATGCAGCTTTTCGGACTTTCTTCAGCACTTGCTCATCGGCAGTCCGGACCGTAATTCCTACACTTTGTTTGCCCTTTCACGCCCATGATTATGACCTATGGGTTCATGGTTTGATTGTAGAAGGCTGATACCGAGAAATTGGAATGATTACGTCGCTCGAACCAATCGTGGAGCAATACGAACGACTGCCGTTACCCATCGTGATCTTAAATCGCTCGCTGTTAATTCATCGGATGACATGATCTCGTCGACATTCGTGACACGACGAAATCAAGAGCTGGGGGATTTTCAATCACGGAGAGACTCCCTCTGCTCTGTTCCAATGTGGATGACACTGGCTTGATCTTCAGCGATTCGCACACGAGTTAGGGTCTAGAGCGCATGGCGAATGATTTCTGGACCACGGAGGCCCTTGATCGACACGTGGATACGTTTGCCCAAGCTACCACATTCGCCGAGTGGTCAGAAACTTGTCCCAAGCAGCCACAGGGAACTAGAAGGCTCTTCATATACGGAAGCACGCGGCGCGAAGCTTTACCTTGAGACCTCAGATCGAGTTCTTGAGCGTTATGGGTTGTGCAATCGCCATTAGCCGTGGTAGCTTATGGCTCGCTGGTTCCTGAATGTATCAATAGCGTAAGTGGGACTCAGTGGTTCTGGTCGGCGACAAATTCGAAGACAACAGCCCGACTGAGCTCAGCTAAGCGGTGACTCTCGTCACCTTAGACGCCGATGCGCCTCAAGGTGCGCACAAGTCCAAAGATCGTCCATGGGCTTTCGTCTTAGTGTGCTTGTGGTTTTCATGGCGCGGGGGAGACGTATGGTGCTATCGGATGTAGAACACACTGCTAAGAGGGAGATGCTTTGGTACCATGCAATGTATACCAGGATCATGTGCATTGCTTTTCGCCAACAGAGCTCACGACTCGCTGGTGCGGACGATTCCAGTTGGATCATTGCTCCCACCATCCGATGCAAGGCCACTGGCTGAGAGCGTTGCGTACTTTCCGGAGCTCATGAGAAGGTCATCTTGTCCGTTGTTTTTGTTTTTTTGAGAAAAAAATGAGGCTTTGCACAGAAGACAAGCTGTCCGAGTCTGGACCATGTGTGGTTCTGACACCACTTTGCGAGAAAGCAAGCACACCACCACAAGCGTGGGTACTATTCGGAATCCGTGAGCTTGTGAGCTTCCGCTGACATCAATTTGCCTTTTCTTGCGTTGTCCAGCTATTATCACAACGGGAAAACTAGATTTGATTGGGCCATGACTATGTCCAGGGAAATGGAGTAAGTGGACAAGAGGAACGGTTGATACAAGCTCGAGAGAGCAAGATGCAGATCCTTCTTATTTCACGTCAGTAATGGCAACAGATCGCGGTACTTATAGGCAAATCAACAAGCACTCAATCTTGTGATCTTGCGAGCTAGACCCGCTGCATGGAAGAGCGCGTTTTCAGTGTATTTATCACTGGTTGGGGACTCGGGACGGATCAACAACTTCTGAGCGGTAAGTGGGATCTTCACTTGATTACTATCTGCAAGAAACTAGTAGCTATCTAAAGATCTGGCATTTCTGGTTCGCGTCTCGGGTCAAACTATGAAGATTTAGGTCAGCCCAGGGAGCTCGTTCTCGCTTGAATCCGTTACTCACACGGGTGTTGGCCCCGATATCCATGATCAGCCCTTCGATCCCAAACACAACAAAGCTCCCGCTCTGGTTCAGCTCATCTTGCGTGTTCTCATAGAATGCCTTTTGCGCCTTGCGGACGGCAGTCACTGACGCGCGATCCTTGAGGAAGGTCTTGTAAGCCAGATGGTAAGTTGGCATGCTCGAGCCGCCAAAGTAGGCAGCCAAGTCCATTCCTTCGGGCTGTATACCGATTTCCTTGGGAACTTGGCCGTTCTCATCATCTAGGTCTCTCGTTCGTCCGGAGGGGTAGCGACTTTTCGCGGGCCATGATAGGAAGTGGCGCTGCAATATCGCTGAAGCTCAGCCCGTCCGGCCTGACGTGCGTCTTGACGTGCTCGGAAGTGAAGACATTCTTGAGATGCGCCCAGATCCAAAAGTACAGCTCGGTGATATCATCCCGGCCAACCCATGGCTGATTGGCATTGAAGGCATCCGGCCGCCCACCAAAGGCACCATCGAAAAGGTGAATCTGGATCTATTTGCTGTTTTTTGATTGATATGCATGTTTTAGTTTGATATGAGTATCCTCACGGAGCCAGCGGCTGGAGACAAGCAACGAAACCAGAGAACTCACTGTGGCTTGATATCAGGATCATCTGGTGCATCGGAGATCGTCCCATGGACTTGGAAATGATGATTCAGAAACTCCTTCCGGGTCATATCGGGCTTGCGCCGGATTGCCACGATCTGTTTGATGAAATTCTCGTTGGCAGACATCTTTCAAAGGCTGGTGTTGGAGTTGAGGTACTGGGTACTAAATACCGGTAGCTTCTGCGTGGCCCCATTGTGGGCGAAACGGATAGTTAAAAGTATGACATATATAGCAGTTCATCGCCTCTGGGCCTTCCAATGACCCGGCTGCCATCCACCTCACTGCACCGCATGCGTAAGTTTTATGTACTGTGGGATAACCTGACTCAAACCCTATCCCTCCCCCGAGTGGGGTTCGCGCCGGCGGGGTGAGTGGGGTGGTGCGGGGGGTGGGTGGGGAAAAGTAGTTGTACTATGTACACACACGGCTATGTGGCGAACCGGCATACAGAGTTATCCTCTTTTCTGCTAGAGGTCAATCAAGTATTCGGTGTACTCGGGCATGACACTCACCCCGCCGTTTGTAAATCTTCTATGGTGGAGCATACATACTACCGGTAACCCGATCCGGCGCGCCGGCGCACCCAGTCGGGACGGCCTGAGCTTCTGAAGGAATTTGTTCCCGTTGGGAGATATGAGTGTAGTACTCAATTTTAGGTAGTCTAGCATGATTCTCACCCCGTCGGATGAGTGGGCCCGATCTGTAGTTAATGCACTCAAATGTCCATAGCAGAACACGGCCCATCAGCCGATCGCATCCGACATGGGATGGTAGCATACCTATAAAGACCCCATCAGTACCACCCTATGATCGAATCATCTGAGTCCCTATTGCTCTATTGCACTTGAATAACACTGATTCTTGATCACTTTCTCATACAAAATGGCGTCTACCCGTTCGAAATATCAAACCACTACCTCCGATGTCGAGGGCTATACTCGCTCAAAGCATACTTATATCCCCATGCGGGATGGGGTTGAATTGTGTGCCAACCTCTTCCTACCGTTTGCCGCCTCTAAGGAGGGTAAACAGGCCCCCGTGATCTGTAGCATGGGACCGTATGGCAAGGACATTCATGCGTCCACGTTTGGACTTCCCAAGACCCCGATTTACGCGGAAATGTACAAGCACATCAAGCCACTGGGGCCAGATGCTGCATTTGAGCTGTGCGAGCCTACAATCTGGGTACGTGGGCAATCTCCACTCTCCCAACGATTCTAATTGGTTCCTAATTATTGTGTGCAGTGTCGGGAATATGGCTATGCTCTGCTCCGCGTTGATGTGCGGGGCGTTGGAGGTAGTCAAGGGAAACTCGATCCCTTTGGTCTGGAGCGCTCTGAAAAGATTCAAGCAGATGCAGAGGGACAAGGTATTTCAGCCAAGCAATCAGAGAGATAGCAGGACTGAGTTTGCTGGCCAGATCTCTATGATGTCGTCGAATGGGCTGCCGACCAACCTTGGTGTACAGGGAAAGTAGCTTTCTCCGGCATCAGCTACTTCGGCATGGTTGGCTACTGGGCTTCAATGCAGAGACCCCCGCATCTGGCCTGTGTCATGTCATACGAGTCCGCATGCAGTATGTACCAAGCGGCCCGAAGAGGTGGAATTTACAGCAACAACTTCCAGTCCCACTGGTATCACAATATCGTGGTTCCCTACCAGGGTGGAAGGCAGGACGGTACGCTCACAGAAGAACAGTTGGCCGCTAACCGTGTGGACTATCCCAAGCTGCTCACCTTGACAGAATACCCCACGGACGGTGCGTGGGCGGTCTTGGAGAAGGTCCGCAAGCTGTCGGACATTGAAGTGCCATTCTACTCCGCGGGCAATTGGACTGACCCTGAGCTGCATTTACCCGGCAACATCCGCGCTTTCAACGGCATCTCGTCCCAATATAAATGGTTGGAAATGCATACCGGAAACCATCTGGGCGCGTTCTATGAGCCAGATCACATTGCGCTGCAAAAGAAATTCTTGGACCACTTCCTCTTCGACAAGAAGGCCAATGGCATGCTCGATGTCCCTCGCATTCGCTTGCTACAGCACCACGGTACGGAGACTCTCTACCGCGAGAATGAGGTGTCTTTCCCACCGGCCGACGCCGAGGATGTCAGTTTCTACCTCACCCCAGAGAAGAAGTTGTCCTTGGCCCTACCATCCGGGAGCAAGGAGACCTTTGCCTATGCTGGATTCAAAGAGTCTCTCAAATTCTCCTTGGAATCCCCATTTTCGGAATCCTTTGAGCTTTTGGGATCCCCTTACCTTGAGCTCGAAGTGTCTACACAGGCGAAGGATCTCGATCTCTTCGTTTACCTCCGGGCTGTGGACGCCGACGGAAACGTGATCGTGCTTCGTGGGAACCACGGCGAGCCGATGGACACCTTCGCCCGAGGATACTTCCGTCTCTCGCACCGGGATGAAGTTGCCAAAGACTTCCTGAAGGAGAAGGTACTGGCCCAGAAATCCATGGCACGCTCCGAAGTTACGCAAGGGAAGGTTTACTCGGTCCTCGTGCCTCTGTACCCGGCGGCCTTTCTGTTTGACCCGAACCAGAGGCTCGAGCTTGAGATCGGCTCCGTCAACACCCCTAGCACCATTCCCCCGATGCGTCATGAAGGTGGGGACAGGCTTCCGGACCGGTTTGAGTGCGAGAATGTCATCTTTTCTCATGGGAAACTGGTTCTACCCCGTGTGCGGCAGTGATTCGGGATGTTCTTTTAGAGGGGTTCAGGGTTGTATCTTGCCAGGTATCTGGCGGTTTTGCAGTTCGGGAAGAATCCATGTAGTATAAGGATTAGTTGCATATGAGTCCATTGTCGATAACCAGAATGGGTTGCTGAATTTTCGGAATGTGTGTGTGTGTGTGCGCCATCAGATTCCTCATTCCAGACGAGTTTGCGCTGGTTATTCTTTTATGGGCGACCTTCTATGTAAATGTTGACCGGCGCTCAGATCAAAAGACCCGAAGCCATTCTGGTCCACGATAATCCATCATTCATGACACTGATTCCCCGACCTTTGATGTCTTCACATCCGATTATTGCCAGTCCGTACCTCAGCCCAGAGATCTCCGGTTAGGGAGAGACGATGCAGAGTAGAGCCGAATATATCCAGCTCAGCTTGACAAGTTGCAGTTTCGGCCAACCAAGTCAAACAAAAAGAAACGCTACTTTTGAGCATTTGATCACTAAATATTACTTCTAGCCCATGACGGTAGACACCAATGGGTACCTTAGTAGATGGTTACCTGAGAATACATGAGCAAGTTCCTGAGTCTATGGTCATGTGACATCACGTGATGTGGATCATGGGAAAAACAAATGGTTGGTACAACAAACATGTTTACAACCAGTTGAAGATAGGAAGGGCTCAAGGTACCTGACAACTGAGAACGAGCAAAATCCTGGCAGCGATATAAAGCGGACGCCCTCAACCTAGCTGGCATTTCAGAATAATACTACTCAAGTCGAGCCACACCCTGTGGTCGTATGTACTCAAGTACTAGGCCTTCCTCTACAGCTAAACATATCCACTTCGCCTCTTCAAAACCCCCACTTCTCTTCCATCTATTGTTTACCGCGCTACAACATTTCCGCATCGTCATCTTGAAACCCTACAGTAGACGATCGGACCACTGAACAAACAGGAAAGTGGGCTTGCCATCTCCAATCTGCCTGCCAATTCATTTGTCTCGCGTCGGACGACACGATCTACTTCGCGCTGGCTGCAAGCCGCGAAAGACCCGAGAGTTCTGTTCAGTTGAGCCCGGGCCTGTCTGTACCTGCGAAAATCATCAGGTCCACTGTATACAATGTGCAGATAAGAATCACAATGAGTCGTTATCTCACCCCTTCCAAAGTTGCACTCCTGTGCTTGATCTCCATCTACGTAGATGGCGTCGTCCCCAACTCTTCAGCAATTCATGTGCTATCATTCCTGGTCTCATGCCTGAGTCCCCTGGATCGGGAGGCGCCCCCCTCCACAGTGAAGAAAGACACACGAAGCTCCGCGTCAATTACAGACCTTGAAGAATCCCTTCTCGGTCACGCGTCTTCCGTGCCCGGTCGCTCGGTATGGGATCTGTTCTTGAAGAAGATCTGGTCCATCGACTCCTGCGATGCGCTGGAGGTATTCTTCGGTGATATCTCCGACCTCTTAGCCAAAACCAGAGACGAGCAGATTCGCGATCGAGATGCCGGTCTGGCTCCCGATCCGAGCTCTACCAAACTCTCTCGGTGCTCGCCCCTGGGGGCATTCGTCCGGCGATCCCAGTTGGAGTTCACCCGACTACAATTCCACGACTCGGTCAAGCTCTGGAAGGGGTTTGTGAGATACAGGTTGCCGACTTACCGCTCATGGGCGCGGAAAAACCCAGCTGGATCGCAGGCTCCGGTCGACATCAATCTGCTAGAGCTTGGCTTAGATACGACAAGCCATCTTTCTCAAGTGGCCTACGGCCAAATCGATGACGATTCGGAAGACGACAAGTACGTCAGCACGAAAGATGTGGAGCGGCTCCTGGAATTTCAGATCAACGAGTTACAAAGTACCATTGCCATCTCTCTCCCTCGAATTCTCGCTGCTAATGCGCCTCAGGCTTGGGTGGGAGAGTTCCGGATGAGATGAAAGTACAGCTAGAGCGCATCATAGCATCGGGCGTGACGGTGCCCAACTTGATACACTATCTAAGGTAAGTGTGTTGTGCCCGCGGTGCCCTTGACGCCGGTGATTGACTGGTTCGTAGATTTCTCGATGCCTGGAGGGCGGGCGACTATCCCTCGTCCTTTGACAATCTCCATCGCTACTTCGACTACACCATGCACAGTCGTGACAGAAGCTCCTATCAGTACGCATTGTTAAATCTTGCCATCCTGCAGGCTGACTATGGGTGCCATGGAGAGGCTGTGTCAGCAATGCAGGAAGCCGTCTCGATTGCGCGTGAATCGCATGACATGAATTGCCTCAACTTCTGCATGAGCTGGCTGTATCATTTCGGCAAAGCTTTCCCCGAGCAGATGAAGGATATCCAGAACACCGGCATGCTAGGCAATGAGAAAGAGGGCCTTGCGTTCCTGAAGGCGAAGGCCAAGGAAACGGAGATGTGGAGTCTGCTGAGCACCACATTATTGAGTGAAGCGAAGCTCGAGCTGCAACATGTATGCTGTCTTTCTCGACCGCCCAGGTGGTTTACTGACAATGCCTAGGGGGAGAGCCTTGCCGCGTCCATGGAGAACATAATCCGCGCTTCACACTTGAATGTCACGAAGAATTTGATGAACTCAGTGGGCCCGCAGCTTCTACTTCAAGCATCGCTCTTTGGGAGAATAGGTTCTGTCCCCCGAGGATAAACATCTGAGCCTTACTGACAATCCAGCAGGAATCACCCATCTATCTTGGCTGAGTAGCGAAGTCTTCCGTGAATGCTATGCGAGTAGAGCACCGTTTGAAGATTATCTCAAGAGTACATTCCGCAGCTGCCAGCTTGTATGTCAAATCCACCACTCCTCATCACGACATCTTCGCTAATGACCCAAAGCTCGCACAACAAGGTCGCTACAAGGACATATCCAGCCGCATGGATCAGGTCACGCCCGAAAAGCTTCGATCCCTAAAAGCGAACCAATACTGGACATTCTTCACCGGTGTGCTGCAACTCAAGCGACATATCTACCGGTATCTCTGCTCCCGACAATTCGTTCTTGTGGAAAGAAACCAGACTGTCCCCTAACAACCTCCCAGTGACAATAAAGTAGCCGCCGAGCATCTCCTCTCCCAACTGCAAGCGATCCAACTCCCAGACACCGACATCTCCCTCCTCCTGTCCTTCCTGACGATCGACTTCCGCATCCGCCAGGGCCACTACGCGCTCGCGCTGGAGCTCGTCGAGTCGACCGCCCGATCCATCCACCAGGACAATTTCGACATCTTCAGCCAGGTCAAGCTGCTCTGCCTCAAGGCGCGGATCCTCGAGAAGTCGGGCCACCCGCAGCGCGGCTTCTCCCTCGCCATGCGCGCCGCCAGCATCGCCCACCGGTCGCGCCTCCTGCCCAGTCTGTGGGAGTCCATCTGCGTGTTGGGCGGGGTGCTCCTCAGCCTGCGCGAGTTCGCCGCCGTCGCCGCCATGCTGGAGAGCATCATGCCGCAGGTCCTGGAGGCAGACGACCGCGACCTCGCCGCCCAGGCGTATTCGCTGCTCGTGGACGCTAACATGGGTGTCGCGGGTTCCCTTTGGAGTCAGAGTCAGAGTCAGAGCCAGGGGCAGGGGCAGGGGCAGGCCCCGTCGCCCCTCAAGAAAGAATACTTGAATCGCGCGCTCGGGTACCTGGATTGTGCCTATGAGCAGTACGAGGAGCTCGAGGACATCAGGGGCCAATGTGAGATGATGGCGAAGAAGGCGACCGTCATGCATCTGACGGGCGATCCGGTGCTAGCCAACGACTACGCGGCTAAGTACCTCGACCTCAAGAAGCAGCGGCGCCTCGAGTCGGCGGATGTGTAGCCCGTGATGTTGTCGCTCTGTTTTGCATGTCTCTCGAGTTTATCAGACCAGAGTCTCCAGTGGGACTGATGTTGCTCTCCCCAATGTCTACTTAGAAACGAGACTCCACTATATTTCAGACGGTAGATCTTACAATAGAACCATACGAAACCCGAAGAAGCACTTATGCCAGGCGAAATCAAATCGCGCGCGATGGGGACTTGATTTTCCACCCGAATTGACAAAAGCGCAATATACAAAGGAAAAAAATATAAAAATTGAAGCAGCATTGTGTTGTGCGTGTGACTCGCTCTCTGTCTCTCTGTCTCTCTGTCTCTCTCTCCCTCCATCATTTCTCCCCTCCCCAGGGTTCCTTTACATCTTGCATGTTCCGCAATAAATGTACATTTGTTCCTTCGGTATCCGCCTCGGATATAAGTCCCAACAAGGAAACTGATTAGTCCGTCATTTGACCACGGGACCATTTAGGTGGCCTTGTCCTTGTTGTGGTAGTTGACGCTGGAGTTCCAGCTGTAGATCATCAAAGTTAGCAAATCCGAACTGTGACTTGAACGGCAAACCCGTCGTTCCCAGCTTGCGGCGTAGTAGGTAGTCGCGAGGATTTTGGTGGAGTTGAAGCCAGAAAAGTCGGGAAACTTACAAGATGGTCTATAAAATGAATTGGAAATCGATTAGTCAAAACGTCTCCCTAAGCTTTGCATCGATTGTATAACTCACCTTGTCACCGTCACCCCAGGGGAAGTTCTTGACACGGATGTTCTGGTAGGGGTACTCGGTGCGCTCCTCAAGAGGAGGCATGTGGTCCCAGTGCTCCCAGTGCTCCTCCCAGAGGTTGTAGGCGTTGAGACCGCCGAGGATCACGACGGGGACGACAGCGCTGGAGTTGTGTGTAAGTAAAAAGACTTAAGTCGGCTTGGAACGGGGTAATCCGGGGATGGGATCAATTGCTGCCGCCACAGGGGATGGCAAGCAGTGAGGAATAACGCAAACGTACTAGATGGAGAGCTTGCGCCAGAGGTCTGTTGGAACATTGGTAACAACCCCGTGGAGTTAGCATGATGTGTAGATCCATTGCAGATGGGTGACTCGGTGAAGTTGAAAGTCAATTGGACCCCAATTGAGGTCCACTCTTCCCCAAGAAGGGTTACGCACCACTGGTAGCAGCAGCGTGGTGCTTGACGGCCTCTCTCTCGCGGTTGAACTCGTTGTCGACAGCCCAGGAGGGGAGCTTGGACTCGGTGTGGTTGAGGCGGCGCTGGACGGCGGCGCGGACCGGAGCAGCACGCAGCTGCTGGGGCAGGCGAAGAAGACTGCGCTGAGCGTACATGGTTGGGGCCTTGGTGGTGGTTGTGGACAATGACAATCGGAGTGTGTCTGCTAGTTGTTGGTGTGGAACAACGTACGACGTCTTTGACGGTGGGAATATCAGCGGATGTCGGCCCTGCCGGCTTAACGAACCAAAAGCCGCTTAGCGTCCCCGTGATTCGCTGGTTTCCGGCCACAGGCAGTGCGTCATTATGTCAGCACAATTTCCACCTCGAATGTTGACCGCCCCGTGATGTCACAGTCACGTGTCGGTCCCATGCTTTGCTCGAAGCTCCCGGAGTTAACTTTAACTGGTTGCTGCTTAATCCATGCATCTGAATCGCCGGGGCGGTGATATAATCCAGATACCTCAAGTTATTTCCTCCACTTTATGCTTCCGGTGGGTATGCGTCGATTAGATTGGTAGAGACGGAATGGGGCTTCGTATTACAACATGGAACGGTGAGTGCGGAACAACAAACATAATGATATGTTGCCAACCATAGACCTGGGCCAAATCATGTACTAATTAGTATCTTGCAGTCAACGGGATCCGGTGTGTGAGCTATGCGTTGCAGCTGCGAATGGTTTGTCACTGACCGACGCAGAAATCCATTCTCCTACGAACCATGGAGAGGCAAGCGGACCTTCGATGTATATCCATCCCTTTGGTCTTCTCGCGCATCAAACTCGAAATAACATGATTAGGCAATGTTTGACATCCTTGAGGCAGACATTGTTGTCTTCCAGGAAACGAAGATTCAACGGAAGGACCTTCGCGATGACATGATTTTGGTCCCAGGATGGGATTGCTATTTCAGCTTGCCTAAGGTGAAGAAAGGCAAGTTTTGTGTCCTTGAGTCTAGTGGTTAGCATAGTTTGACAGGTTCCAGGCTACTCTGGAGTGGTCATTTACACTCGCAATGCGACCTGTGCCCCGATCCGTGCGGAGGAGGGACTTACAGGCATGCTTTGTCCACAAAACTCATCGGTCCCCTTTCGCGAGCTTCCAGACGACCAGCAGATTGGCGGCTATCCAACTTTGGAGCAACTCAGTAGCCTTGAGGTCGATCCTGCTACCCTGGACTCGGAAGGACGTTGTGTCATTCTCGAATTCCCCGCCTTTGTGTTGCTGGGCATATACTCCCCGGCAACCCGGGACGAAAGTCGTGACTCATTCCGTCATGACTTTATCGACCTGATGGATGCCCGAGTTCGCAACCTCGTCGCGATGGGAAAGCGGGTGTTTGTCACGGGTGATCTGAACATTTCTAGAAGAGAGATCGATGCAGCGCACGCGGCAGAGGCGATTAGAAAAGGATCCATGACCGAGGATGAATGGGTCTCGATGCATGCCCGACGTGTTTTCAACCAGTGGTTTGCGGATGGCAAAGTCATTGGTGAGCGCGATGAAGGAAGAGAGAAGCCTGTGCTCCATGATATCTGCCGATCATTCCATCCTGAACGCAAAGGGATGTATACCTGCTGGGAGCAGAGAATCAATGCGCGCCCAGGCAATTATGGCGCAAGAATTGATTACGTCCTCTGCAGTTTGGAAATGCAAGATTGGTTCTGCGATTCAAACATCCAAGAAGGGCTTATGGTAGGTTCTGTCGATTGAGGGATAAACGCGAACTCTTGCTGATAGCAGACGATGCAGGGTTCGGATCATTGTCCTGTCTATGCCGTTTTGAAGGATAGCATCATGTTCGAAGGGAAAGAGACGAAGGTTCGCGAAATTATGAATCCTGCAGGTGTTTTCAAGAATGGCGAGCGTCAGCAAGAGTACACAACAAAGTTATTGTTGCCCACTTCCGGGCGTCTAATCCCAGAGTTTGACAAACGGAGAAGCATCAAGGATATGTTCATGCGCAAGCCCACCAAATCATCCCAAAGCACCCCCTCTGGTATTCCTACAAATCCTCGGCCAACGGCGATGCAAGAGACTGCGCTGTCTTCTTCCGAGTCGAATCCCAACAAAGCGGTCAGTAATGCCAACGGCGAAAGTAGGGGCACAGTACGCAAGCGATCGGACAAGCTTGAGTCCCCCATCAAGCGATCGAAAAGCACGATTGCCCCAGCACCCGCGCCGACGAACCCTGAGCAGAAAACCTTGAAAGGATTCTTCAAGCCCAAAAGTGCCCCCGCGGATTCTAGCGAGGATTGTTCCGCCAAGGATGCTGAGCTTGCGGTCTCTCAACCGTCGACTTCTTCATCCACAACAACTGGCCCATCGGCGTACTCGCAGCTTGAGAAACAGGAGGCTGTGGACACCGTGACCAAACCATCTGCAGAAGAAGCCAACAGCCGCGAACCATCCAGTGTTCTTGCCCCCGAGGAAGACGACGCTGTTTTTGACCCGATCGTCAGCAAAGAAGATTGGTCCAAGCTGTTCACGAAGAAGCGAGCTCCCTTATGCGAAAGCCATCAGGATCCATGCATCAGCTTGACGACGAAAAAGCCTGGACCGAATTGTGGACGAGCGTTTTGGATATGTTCGAGGCCTCTAGGGCCGAGCGGCAACAAGGAGAAGGGAACGCAGTGGCGATGTCCGACGTTCATTTGGGCAAGCGATTGGAATTCGTCGTCATAGCTGTGAGCAACTGCACATATCATCGAAGCCCAAAATTGTCTTCTGCTTGGAACGATTGAAGAAAATGATACCCCCCTTTTGAGTTTGATTCTCGAGTGCGAAATCAGAAGTTGATACTGGACTGGCGTCATTCTGGTCTGTTGTCCGTAAGAGAATCTGGTAATAAACTATTTCGACGACATAATCAGCACATTTTGTTAGTAACAACTGTTATCAGTACTTGTAACCCACCAACTAGCCTTTCAGCTTCACCATCATAGCTACTACCAAATCCAGCCACCACTCGTCATCATCTTTTATCTATTAGATAGCAGCCTAGAGTTGAAATCCACATCCACAGCGGAGACACTTTGGCAGGTGATTGTTGATGAAACAAATGACCCCGGACCCGCATGGTGTGTATCCACTTGCGCGCATGAAAGGTGGGGAGGCTGGTGTTATTGTATGAAAGGAATCACTCTGCAGTTTCCAGCTGCGTGGGGCTATTGTCAGCAGTGCTATTCGGTGCTGGATCCAGCTCTCCCAGAATATAGCTTTTTCTGGACGTGTTACTCTGAAAACGAGTAGTGGTGCAAGTTGCCTGCAATAAACCTGATTCTCAGAATATGATATTTGCAAATATGGTAAGAGAATACAACTATTCGCAACCATAGCGAGAGAATCTACTATTCGCGACTATAAGGAGCGCATACAAACAAGCAAAGTCTACATAAACAATAGAGATGCGCAGAAAGTTTTGTTTGTTAGTCCAAACCACCATATGTTAGATTTCTATGATCCTATGCAACTCGTTTGTAGTTTCCACGGACTTCGATGCACTTTATACTATCTCCATCGGACCAGATGCATGATAACAGATAAAAATGAGATACATTCTTTGAGTAACCTGTCCATTAACCATATCATGATAAAATCTCTCAGAAGAATCCAGAAGATCGGGGCTGGTGGAAGGTACAGTCTTGTTTGATCCGAAAAGAAGTGGAGATACAGGATTGCAAAATAGCAAGGAAAATGGTAGAGTTAACAAAAGGGTCCAGTCAGTCTGAAGACTTGTCCTCGGTCCGTCCCTCCCTCTCGTTTGTCCCCCCTCTCATGTCTCCCATCCCCGATCGTGTAGAGAAACGTCGAATGCAGTGAGTGCACCAAGCATCATCACGGAGCTTGAGCAGCCTGGGCCAGTGTGGAGGCCAGCTCCAGACCGTTTCCTAGCCGCTCTTTCCTCTGACGTCGCTAGAGCATCATCACTTCCGATCGACGCACTGGCTTCAGTAGATTTCCGCCAGGAAGTCCGACAGTTCGAAAGGCTCGCCAGCGAGTCTCTCGTTCATGCCGAAGTTCGCCGAGGCAAAGATCATGGCGCGCTGGTTTTCGCTCTCCACCTCCGCAATGAGATTGTCGAGCTCAGCGGCGCTGAAGCGGTAGGGGCCGCCAATCATGGCTGGCTCGTCGGAAATAACGACACTTTCGAGTTCCGCGAGATTGTGGTTCGGTGTCTCGGCGTCGGCACTGATTGTGGAAAGACTGGTATCAGGGATAGAGCTGCCGACTTCGGATTTAGTGCTTGTCGTAGCAGGGGTGTGAGACCGCTTGGTGGGCTTGGATTCGGGACGAGACGAGCCACGACGTTTTTTCTCGGATGGCTTGCGCGGAGTGTACTGATAGTCGGGGTGCTCTTCGGCATGCTTGCGTTTAGTCTCCTCGGCCAGTTTTCTCCACTCGGCCTTCACCTCTTCAGGTTCGGCCTTCCACTGCTTTCCCAGCAAGATGGCTATCAAAGTTAGCTCATAGTGCTTCAATAAAATAGAGGTATCGAGACTTACAGATTTCATTGTTGGTGAGAGCTGGGTTGCTTTCTTTCACCTTTGGATGATGGTTTTGACGATACAGGATGAATGCGTTCGGGGGACGAGGGATCTTGTTTTGTTTCACAGGTATGGCCTGGATAGTGATAGATGCAGCCTCAATCTCAGTTGCTGATTCCTTGATTGGAGCAGCAAGTGCTACCGCAGTTCCCGAAAATGCAGGAGTTTGCAGAATGCGAAGTGCGTTGATAGATTCATCGAGAAAAGCAACCGTTGGGGTCCCGATAAGCATACTTTTGAATAGCATTGTAAGCACACATGAAAAGTCCACCATGTCGGAAGCAACTCACCTCAGACGAGTCTTGATCTTGTCAACGTTCCTCTGACCGATGATATCCACCACGTTAAGTGGAAGGAGCACTTCGTTGTTTGTGTTTCTGAGATGACGCAAGGCATCCTGCCACAGCAGCTCGGTGATATTGTCGGTGCGCTCAACAGGAGCTCTCATGGCTAGAGGAGGGGTACTCATTTTGACCGATGAGATCAAAGCTGATGTGTTTCAAAGGTGATTGAAGAATGATCAAGATCAGTTGTGTGTGATATCGAGGATGTGGAGGAAGGTTAGAGTGGGTTGGTGGAGGAAAGAAAGGAAGAAGGATCTTGGAGACAGAGGAAGACGGAGAGATATATGTACCTCAGAAAACCTATTCAACACCAAAAACATATCTGAATAAGATATAGGCAGAACTGGACACAGTGAATGATTTCAAGTTCAAGATATAGTGGGGTGGTCTAGCAGCTTCTTTGTTTTACAAAGCGAGCGGGGGGATATCCATATATTCACAAGAACACAGATTTCTGAATAACAGTAGGGCGTTTCACGTTTAGTCTTTTCTCTACAGGAAAATTTATTTAAGCCCTCCTGATTCCTGTCTCCTCGACTTGACATCTTTCTATCTTTCCATCCTCCACATTTCCAGAACTGTTCCTCCACCATCAAGCCTCTCTTCTTCAACCTCATCAAAACTTACACCATTCCAAGTTCCTGTCATCCTCCGAGTCAACAGAAAACACCACCATGGCTGCAGAGCCTAATGTTCTACTCCGCGTCATCGATGAACTCCGGACCGATGCCAGTCTTGACTATCAGACTCGGCAGCGAGCTGCATACATTTCTACCTCCTTTTCCGTCCATGGCAACAAGTTCAGACTCATGGCTCAGGCTGCGGCTTTGGACGTTGGCGAATTCGAAATTCCCTCCCCACATCTGATTCATAATTCGGACGAAAACAAGCAGACACTTGTCGAACTGCATGGCAAGAACCTGCAAGCGGTCATGTCTGAATATGATGTGAAACCTAGTATTGCGGATTTCGAAGGCCATCCAGTCAGCCTATTCGGCATGATCGATGGCGACATCAATACCATTCTCGAGGGGCAGAGATTGGCTAAATTCCATCGGGCTCTCTTGAAAGCGGAAACCAACGCAAACAATGATCTGTCCAGGGCGACCAGAAAGTATGGCTATCACTACATCTTCAGAGTCGGCCTCTCACACTACTATTTGGCGTAAGTTGACATGCTGATACACTCAGGTATAAGCTAAATGATTGATTAGGAAAACTATTGCCGAGCATGTCAACTTCTGGAAGAACGATGACCGTGGGGTGGCTTACGGCGCTCAGACACAGGCCTTGTGCTACCAAGCTATGGAGACAAGAATCTGCCTGACCGAGAATGCGAAGAACTTCATGATTCGCATGACAGGAAGCCGCCCGGAAGATGCTCGCCGTTTCTGTAAGTGTTTATCAAAAGTGTTGAAGCATATCATACTGACTTCTCAGGGTCTTTCCTAGAGCACCAACGAGCGGCGTACACTGTCATGAAAGGCTGCATTGCGCTTCTGGAACACTTTAAATCCACCTCGATGGATGGGGACCACGCGCAGTAATGGCGCATCCGGCATATGGAATCTGTTGCGATCACGACTTCAAATTTCAAGGCGAAGCATTGATGATGAATGTCCACCGATGAGAGCTTCGCTGCAATGGGATTTCTCACACATACTACAAGAGCGTTTATTTCATTTCTTCCTGAAGATCATGGAGAACATCGACTAATAAGAAACTTGGCTGCATCTCGCTGCTTCAAATAAGGATATAGCCCGATTGAGGGACCAATCAGACTGACCTAGTGTCATGATGCAGAATTCTTTATCGTTTTTTTCTTGTTTCCTCAGACTGTGATGTCTGCTTTTGCTCAACCAGAATGACATACACTTCAAATAAAAACTCAAAGCCATAGCACGTTAGCCCATCCCACATGTCGGGAATTACACCGTAAGGCAGATTGTAGTGTGTATTTTGACCTAGTTCGAGAATTGATCGCCTTTCTAATGGTGGATCAGAACCAATACGAATTGTCGCACAGTCGCACAGTCGCACAACTGGAACAGGGGTGTTTGATGTTATCCTTATTATCTTTTACCTTAATGAGTGGTAGCAGAGGTTGACGGCGAATCTGATAAGTATTTTGGTAAAATTCGACATATTACAACTAACATTCTTGGCCAATGCTGTAGACAGGCAGCTGGGACAACTAAGACAAAGGATTTGAATGCCTGCCACTTGCACCGAAGTGCAAAGGTCTCCCCAAACTTAGCTCGTCCTTGCTCTTGCTCACCAACGAGAGAGAGTCGCTTTCTCAAGATCACGATGTGCCGAGCAGAACAAAGAAGCGCCGACTAGCTATTGTGTGGATAATGCGGGGAGTACCAAAGATTGCAGTCCGGTCAACCGCTGGGCTTGGGTACGGTCTAGAGGAGCCGAATCCGGATCCGCACTTGTAGTTTGTGACCGTACACAAAGCAAACGGCGATGGCAGTAATCATTCGAGCCATGGCACAAGACCGGAGGCTCGTGCGTGATGGTATGGAAGCTTTGGAGCCATGGGTTACGGATCGCGACCAACATCGAGCCTGAGACTTTTCTCAAGCCTGCTACTGCAACAACCCGCCAAAGGCCAGTCGGGTGGCTTGCGGACCCGACTAACCTTCAATAGTTCTTCTCTACGGCGTCCAACCCTCGTAGACAACCCTGGTCGCCAGCATCCCCGTCGAACTTGTTTCACGAAAAAACCCAAGACTGTTTCTCCACTTGCATGCAGGACCGAAATTCCCTTTCGACAGGGGGACACAACTTGGCTCTTGCAGTGGTTGCATGGTTCGAATTCAATTCGCGAGCCAATCGAGCACGTCCATCACAGACACACACGAGTCATAGGCCAGGAGATTCGGCTGTCAAGGGAGGCTTGGCCGCAAAGACTATATTACAAAGAAGGGGACTCCATCCTTTTTGTCTGCCGTGAACTCTCCTTCCATCTGATCCTAGCGTGGAAGCCGAGATTCTGACTGGGGAACCAACTTTTGAAGAGTTGGGTTTCCCTTCCTGTATATGGTTTTCCGACTGGCATGATGGAATTCGGGGCTGGCGCAAAAAGGGAGGAGAATCTTTGACACCCGGTGTGGATAGTCAGCCGGCTTGCTCGATGCCAAATCAAATTTTATACGCAGTCGCAAGGGGGTCTTTGGAGGCAGCGTGTCCATCAGCAACTTTTGGATTTCAGGCGAAGTAGACTTCGCTAATGCACTCTAGGCTGAATTCAATTCTGCAGGGACCTATGGGATCAAGAAGTATAACCCCAAGACAGGTATGTCTTATCATGCTGTGGGGGGTCTAGACTGACTTGACCTTTCACAAGGACGTACGCACAAGCTTCTTCTGATGAGTTATGGTTTGTTGCGAAAGCTAGGTTTTGGCGCGCAAGTAGAGAAATTGAAAGCGCCGTCGGTCGATCTTCTGCGTTGGTTCTTGACCGTTTACTTGGTGTGTTCTTGGCCGCGGAATCGCTTTTCCGGGCCAGGGTTTTGTGGACCCTTTGTCTCCAACCCCAGAGTCGGTGCTCTACCGATGCCTGGATGCAGATCACTGCCTGGGATAACTGTAGTGGGCTCACAGCCCACGAAGCTACTATGATCAAGCCTCTGGGATATCAGAGGCATGATTGCGTTGATCGATACAATGTTATGTGTCTCGCAAAACTGTGACCGCGGTCAGCAGTTGGAGCTCACCAGCTCGGTTGCCGGTGGCCCAATCTAAAGATAGCATGTTATGGCTGAGTGACCTCGTCCAAGTCAACTACAAGCTAATAAGGTACGTTGTTTCATGCCAACTACTGTCGAACTCAAACCAACGCCCGAGCATATTAGGGAGCGAGCAACGAGCCGTACAAAAATCGTTCAGCACTGCCCTGAACTCGCCAACCTTGGCAGAGCCAACATGTCTGCAACATATCCACTCTCGATTCTCCCCAGCCTACCATCCCATATCGACGGCTAGGAGTTATAAGGACGCGAAACTGCCTTTGGCGTCCGGTGCGACAGTCGCCTGAGACATGTGCAGAAGTACCATGCCCAGCCAGCCGCGCACCGTTATCCCCCCGGCAATGATAGGGGGAACTGTTCGAGAAGTCGACAGCCGACTGAGACTCTTGATACTGATTGCGAGTGGGTATATTTCGGTGGTAGGGAAGGCCTCATGTGGTAGCAATGAGGGGATGTTGAAGGTGATCGTGGCGATCATTGGGCGATGGCCCCGATCGTTGGGGACCTGAGGTCGAAGGTTGGGCAGTTCGAGCATCTGACGGGCTTTGCCCTCTGAGATTGTGTCTTGGAATCAGAAACAGTTGGGATCCTGTTGTGCTAGAGAAGGAAGTCGGCACTTTGACACTCGAGAAACCGTCGATGGAGATGGTGACCTGCAGTCGTTGTTGAGAACGTAGATAAGTCTGCAGTAGCAAGCTCGTCCATGGCACATAACGTAGTTCAGGACGTACGATAGCAGGGTATCGAGAACATTCGAATGAAATTACCAATGAAAGCTCCACCTTTGCCTTTTTACAGATGCGCATCAAAGGCGAAGCGCAGTCAGCTTCCCCAACGTGATACGGGTCTTGTTCGAGTCTTTGATTCTAGCAACTAACTTTGTCGTGTCGCTCAATGTACATTTATTTCTATGCATCTATGCAGTAATGTGGCGATAAGCTGCAGAATGAGCCAGAGGACTTAGCATAATTGTGTCGAAGACTCACTTGCGAGTGCGCAAGGCATGGTGATTATCGATGGATCCTGAGGATCCGCTCCTTGGTGAGATTGAGCCGTCAACCGAACCGGACAACAAGCTCCAAAGTAGCTAAGCACTATGCGGAAACATCTTCGATGCCGACGGCTTGCAATTTAGATGAAGCGTTGACATTCCCACCACTATCTCAGAAGCAGGTGGTCGAGGCTGCTGCAGTCCAGATCAAGTCCAGGTTCGGTCCCAATCTACCATTCAATACAACCCAACATGCGATGCGAGATAGTCATATCTAGCCCCCTCTTAGATATCTGAAGGATTTTCTTGTTTTGCATTCACTGGATCAACGTTGATGAAATTGTTGCCTGGCTCATGTGACCTGCCCTGCATTTCC